ACAGTTCCACACCAGAGCTGACATTGGTCACTCTGGTGCCATTTGGGGCTGGCATCCTCCGCCTCTTTCTCTGATAATTTGATCTTCTTCCTTTCAATGATTTCATCTTGTGATTGTTGATTCTCAAGCATCAGTAAGGGTTGAGTATCTCTTTCTCTTTTTCCCCCTATACTAAGGACTGGGTTAATGTGGAAAGCCTCTTGTCTTGTTAGTCTTCCCTTATAAGCTGAGTTTCTTCTCCATAGCCTGTGAATGGAAGGGTTAGATTTTGTCCCTTGTATCTCAGAGCTCACCTTCTGCCTTGTCTCAGTGGAGCAGAGAGTTTGGAACAGATAGTAAAAGGAAGATAAAAAAACTCACTTGGCAACTAGAAGATATGAGGAGCCTAGGGGATGGTAAGAATTTGGAGGAGTGAGAGGCCGTCAAATTGGAGTTGGAACAAGCACATTGCTCTGAGGAAGCATATTGGCAACAAAATTCAAGAATATTTGGCTCAAGGAGAGGGACCAAAATACCAGGTATTTTCATGCAGTCACAACCCAGAGGAGGAAAAGAAATGTGATATAGCCCTGTTATCATAACCCGGTTCAGGTGTTAGTTACTCGACTCGACAGATGCTGCCAAGGATATCGCCAAGACGATATCTCCAAAGTCGACATAGCCTATCAGTCATATGAGGATCACCACCGGTCTAGGGACGAGCCAAAAACGACTTCGGGAAGTCGACTTTGTATAAGTCGACCTACGTGCTAGAAGGCGAATAAGCATTCAGAGAACCTCGGATATACAAACGGGACCATAAGTCGACTCGACGAGGCTCCGAATCGACTTAGAGTACCTCTGACGACTCGCATTTACCTCGATATCGAAACAAGGCCTCCTGAGCTAGAGAATCTGTGTGAGATAAGAAGGAATCTAGGTGCTGACTCAGAGAGTGGGCAGAATGTGAATCGACCAGGGCATTTTGGACACTTCACGTAAGTCGGCCAGGGCATTTCAGGTATTTCCAGTAAGCATTTCTACCCTTATATAAAGGAGTAGAGGTGACTCCAAACCGTAACTTTTATTCTCTCCATTCATTATTCAGCAGCTGCTCCTACTGAGCAGAGCTCATCTTCTTCTCTCTCACTGACTTGAGCGTCGGAGGCTCTTCACCAGAAAACACTTCCGGTGTTGAGTTCTTGCAGGTGTCCGCAGCGGTTCACGGGCGACTTGAAAATGACTCAAACAGACCAGAGCTCTTTCCATCGGTTCATCCCAAATCTAGGAGGAGACCCATCAAATTGGCGCCGTCTGTGGGGAGTTCTTGAAGGAAATAAGAGCTTTGCACCTAGTTCCGATCTGTTTGACATGGTGGAGAAGGAAGGATTGTCGAGAAATTTGAATGAGGATTTTCAGGCAGCGTGGACGGATAAACGCCCGCTGCCGATTCTTGGCCCTAGACCACCACTTCAGGTGCTCGGTTTCTGCCGTTCGGAGGGCACGCGCCGTCGGGAGCACGTAGGGAGAAAGAAATACCCATCACACCACCTGGGGTGAAGATTCCAGGGCTAACACAAGGTGGATCTAGCCAGATAAGGGCCACCGACACGGGAACTGATGAGAACGAGTCGGCCAAAATGACTTTTAGTTTGGGAAAGCGGTCTGAAATGCTGGAGCAAGGGGCAAGGCCACCGCCCCAGGTCGAGGAGCAAATGGTGACTATGACGAGAAATGAGATGCAAAGAATGATTGCAGAGGCGGTGGCAGCCCAACTCAAACAGGTGCAAGTCGAGCAACCCAGGGTCGAACAACCTAGGAGGGAGCCACCTAGAGTCGAGCAACAAAGGCTCGAGTTGCCACCCCCTAATCACGAGCAACAAGCCCAGTCCAATGATAGGCAGATCCGGAGGGTGGAGGAAGAAGCGTCCTCCATCAGGACCGCTAACCCGCAAGCGAGAGATGAGACGTTGGAGCAACTGCTCGCCCAAGTTCGCGATTTACAGGCCCGGGTCAAGGGGAGAAAGGTTGGAGGCTCAAGGGGACATCCGTTCTCGTAGCACATCCTAGATGCCGACCTGCCGCAAGGTTTTCGAGATCTAAACATAAGTTACGACGGGTCGACCGATCCATCGCGTTACATGAGGAGTTTCGAGAATATGGCAGTGCTGCATCGTTATACTGACCCGGTGCAATGTCGAGCCTTCCTAACGACTTTGCGGGGGTCCGCGCAGGATTAGTTTCACCAACTACCAGCAGGAGCCATCAAAGATTTTGAGGGATACAGTGCGAGCTTCCTCAATCAATTCGCAAGTGTCAAACCGTAAGAGAAGTCGTATCTGACCTTAATGGGCATCTAGCAAAAGGAAAGTGAGTCACTACGGGACTATGTGGCGAGATATACGCGGGCATGCGTCGAGGTGCCCAGGGCATCGGAGGAAATAAAGGCAGGAGGTTTGACTCGAGGATTTCTACCGGGCTTGTGCAGGAATTCCTTAGCAAAGCGCCCGGGTAGAACGTTCGACGAGGTGCTGGGGAGATGCGCGAAGTATATGAATGTCGAGGAGGCGGAGGTCGATTTCTCAAGAACAGTTAAAGAAAGTAAGGCTGACCATCGAGATGAGAGAAGGGAGAAGAAGGTTTTCTCAACTGGGGAGAGGAAGGGATCCCCGCGAGCAGAAAGAGAGGTGCGATCTAGGGGTTGGAGGCCAACTCAATAAACCCCTTTGTCGGCTCCTCAAATGCGAATTTTGGAGGTGATGGAAAGGGAAATTCATGACAATGTCGTCAGATGGCCCAAGACGAGGAAAGACGGACCAACGAGACCGAATAGTAATCTATATTGTCGATTTCATAAGGACTATGGGCACAATACTGACGACTGCAGGCACCTTACAGACGAGATCGAAAGGCTGATTAGGGCAGGGCACTTAAAAGAATTCATATACAAGGATCGGGAAAAGTCGAGCAGGAGAAGAGAAAGGAGCAGGAGCCCTCGCAAGAGGGCGAGAACGCCGGATAAAGAGGATCTCCCACAAAAAAGAGGAACCATACATATGATATTTGGAGGATCAACTGATGGAGATTCGAATCGAGCAAGGAAGGCGTATGCCCGAGGGCGCCACGGGAAAGTCGAGGTACAACAGGTCGATGAGAATGGGCCAGTAATAAACTTCGGTCCAGCAGATGTGGGAGAGGTTGAAAGACCTCATAACGATGCATTGATGATAACTTCCCAGATATCGGGATGTGAAGTGCAGAGAGTGTTTGTCGACACTGGGAGTTCTGTGAATGTGATTTTCTACGATTGTCTCAAAAGGATGGAGCTCGACATACAGCTCGCACCCCTCCATACTTCACTATTCGGTTTCAACGGGTCAGAGGTCGCGCCCCTAGGGGAAACCATGCTCGCTGTCGTTCTAGGGAAAGGTGACTTGCGAAAGGTAAAAATGGTGAGATTCGTGGTGGTTGATGTCGAGTCAGCGTATAATGCGATCTTGGGGAGGCCATCACTTAATGCATTCCATGCGGTAGTATCGACCTACCATATGAAGCTAAAGTTCCTAGTCGGAGACCAAGTTGGATAAGCTCGAGGCGATCAAAAGCTGTCGAGGACGTGTTATCAAATCGCTGTAAAAACCAACCAGCGGGCCGAAGTTAAGGAGGGAAAGAAGCCAATGATGAACGAGAAAAGGCCAAGGAATAGTGATCTCGAACCACACGGGGAGCTAATGGAAATATAAATCGGAGAAACAAAGGTACAGACCACTAATATCGAGAAAGATCTGAAAGACGAGCTACGAAACCAACTCATCACACTACTGAAGGAGTTCAGGGATGTTTTCGCCTTCACCCCTGAGGAGTTGACGGGGATCGACCCCACTGTTATGGAGCATAAACTCAACGTCGACCCCCTCAGAAAGCCAGTAAAACAACGACTTAAACGCCATGGTGAAGAAATCGACAAAGCAATTGAAGTCGAGGTGGACAAGTTGTTGCGAGCAGGGCACGTCAAAGAAATCCAATTTCCCGAGTGGATATCCAACACAGTGATGGTGAGAAAGGCACTAAACAAATGGCGCATGTGCATCGATTTCCATGACCTAAACTTGGCCTGCCAAAAAGATCATTATCCTTTACCATGAATTGATCAGTTCGTCGACTCTACGGCTGGTTGCGAATTACTGAGTATGATGGATGCCTCTCAGGGATACCACCAGATCCCGTTGTGCCCGGAGGATCAAGGTAAGGTGAGTTTCGTGACGAGTAAAGGGACGTACTGCTATGTCGTCATGCCCTTTGGACTTAATAATGCTGGAGCAACCTACCAACGACTGATGGATCGAATGTTTAAATCTCAGATCAGGTGAAATATCGAGGTAGATGTGGACGATATCTTGGTGAAGAGTAAAGCCTCGACCTCATACACAGACGATTTAAGGGAAACATTTCAAACCCTTAGGGCGTTCGGGATGAAGCTGAACCCAAATAAGTGTGCCTTTGGAGTAAAGGCAGGACGATTCCTGGGGTACATCGTCACAGAGCGAGGAATCGAGGTAAATCGGGAGAAGGTGAAGGCCATACTCTACATGGCCCCACCAAGAAATATAAGAGATGTGCAAGTTCTGACGGGACGAATTGTGGGGCTGAGCAGGTTCATTGCTCGAGCCGCAGAAAAAAGGTTCTCGTTCTTCAAATTACTCAAGAAGAAGTCGACCTTCTCATGGAATGATGAAGCACAAATGGCCTTCGAAAAATTGAAAGAATTCTTGGGCGAGCTACCCTTGTTGACAAAACCAGAGCCCGGCGACGAGTTGGTGCTTTATATATCTGTGGGTTCGGTATCGCTAAGTTCAGTGTTATTGCAAGAAGAAGGAGGTGTCCAACAGCCAATTTACTACACCAGTCGAGTTCTTCAGGGCGCAGAGACAAGATATTCTGAGATCGAGAAAGCCGCCTTGACACTGTGATAACGGCTAGAAAGCTGAGGCCATATTTTCTGAATCATGTGGTAGTGGTCAGGACGAACTTCCAGCTGGGTGAAACATTGGGCCGACCTACGGTATCAGGTCAACTCGTCAAGTGGGCAGTCGAGCTGAGCGAATATTCTATCAAGTACGAGCCAAGGCGAGCCATAAAAGCTCAAGCCTTGGCGGATTTCATCCAAGAAGGTACCAAGGGAGAAGAAAAGAAATGGATCATGCACGTCGATGGATCCTCAGCGGCCAAAGGATCCGGTCTGGGAATTGTCCTCGTCTCGCTTGAGGGCGAGCAACTTGACTTTGCCATTAGAATGAGATTTAAGGCCTCGAATAACGAAGCAGAATACGAGGCGTTAATCAAGGGAATACAACTTGCAATTGGCGGAGGAGCGTCAGAAGTAGTGGCACATTCCGACTCACAATTAGTTGTTGGACAAGTGTTGGGAAGTTGCGAGATCAAAGAAGAACGAATGATGAAATAAGTCAAAGAAATCCAAAGTCTTGTGAAGGGCCTGGAGAAGTTTGAACTAACACAAATCCCTCGAGAGGAAAACAAATGAGCAGATTGGCTCGCGAGAATTGAGAGCTCGAATGATGGAAAGATGGGAAATTCTATCACCACCATGCACTTATAAGGAAGCGTGTTGGGCGAGACAATGGAAGTGGAGGAAAAAGACGACTGGAGAAAATCGATTCATGAACTCCTACAGGGTCGAGTACCTATGGGAGATAAGAAGGAGGCAGAGAGGGTCGCTCGATATCTGAGAAAATATTTTGAAGTCGGCGGTGTCATGTTCAAAAAGTCTTTGGTTGGGCCTCACTTGCGATGCGTCTCTGAGGGCGAGGGAACCCATGTATTGAAAGAAATACATGAAGGATGTTGCGGAGCACATGTAGGATCGCGAGCCTTGGCGGGCAAAGCCCTACGAGCAGGATACTATTGGCCCAAGATGCGGGCAATGACGGAACAACTAGTCCGGAAGTGCGAAAAATGTCAGCGCCACGGGCAAATCACTCATATCCCCG